AGCCCAAGAGTTGGAGGTTGCTGTGAGCTGTGACGCCACAGCACTCTACAACATAGTGAGACTGTCTCAAAAAAAAAAAGAAGGCATTAAATAGGTCAGTGGTTAAGGGGCCAGCCACGTGTACTGGGGCTGGTGGGTTTAAACCCAGCCTGGGCCTGCTAAAACAACAAGAAAAATAGCTGGGCATTGTGGCAGGCGCCTGTAGTCCCAGCTAATAGGGAAGAGAATCACTTAAACCCAAGAGTTTGAGGTTGCTGTGAGGCATGACGCCATAGCCCTCTACCAAGGGCGACAAAGTTACACTCTGTCTCAATTAAAAAGAAAAGGGGGGGGGTCGGTGCCTGTGGCTCAGTGAGTAGGGCCCTAGCCCCATATACTGAGGGTGTCAGGTTCAAACCTGGCCCCGTCCAAACTGCAACAAAAAAATAGCTGGGCATTGTGGTGGGTGTCTGTAGTCCCAGCTACTTGGGAGGCTGAGGCAAGAGAATTGCCTAAACCTAGGAGCTGGAAGTTGTGAGCTGTGGTGCCACGGCACTCTACTGAGGGCAATAAAGTGAAACTCTGTCTCGAAAAAAAAAAAAAAGGCATTAAATGATGCTAATAGTGATTGACATTTTATAGCGGTAAGAGGCTGTTATCTTTGTTGGTAAGGAAGCCTCCAGCCAGCATGGCCCCTTGGAGGCCATTTGCTTCCTTTTCCTACAGAGAGGAGGACCGTATTGCTTTTTGACTGCTCCACAAAATTTTAGGGCAGTTTGCCAACTGTGTGGAAGTTTTCTTGGGAAGTTTCTGGAGCATTAGCAGTGGGATGCTCTGTGATACAGACTTGAGAACTCTATGGCAAGGCTGGTCCTGGATTAACAAAGGCCCTTCTGTTAATCCCCTGGGTGGACATTGTCTTTTCTTCCTAATCTGTTTCCTTTGCCCTCAGCTCTCCAGTGTTGAGTTGAGCTGCTGGTATGTAGTCAGGTGGCCTATAGCAACCTGCAAGAGGGCAAGTCCTGCTGGATACAATGCTGGCCCACTCCCTACATCCAGACTGGTATCAGGTCTCAGGTTACTGCTAGCTTTCCAAGAGGATCTGCTGTCTAGGTGGAGGCTACCCTTACCATGGTATACTCGGGCTATCTCAATCTTTTCCCCTTCCCGCAAATCTGTGGGCCTGGACCCTCTTAGGGCACTGAAAGACCTTCCTTCCTAAGCTAGTTATGGTATTCCAGGCCCAGGAAGAAACTGAATGTCTTCTTTGGGAATAACATCCTTCATGGAAGTCCCACCAACTGAGAGTGTTAGAGCAGGACTTAGGGACACCAATCTGGAAACAGGCTGCTATAGGAAAGGACTATAGGCAAATTTTTCCTGAGTACTTACTCTGCTCTAAGGGTTCATTAAATCCTCATTCTGGGAAGAGTGATTTGTATCCTTACTTTACAAATGGAACAATCAAAGCTCAGAAAGGATAAGGCTCAAAAGTCAGCGTTAGGGCTTGGTGCTGGCCACATGCACCGAGGCTGGCAGGTTCAAACCCAGCCAGGGTCAGCTAAACTACAATGACAACAAAAAATAGCCGGGCGTTGTGTCGGGCGCCTGCCAGCTACTTGGGAGCCTGAGGCAAGAGAATAACTTAAACCCAAGAGTTCGAGGTTGCTGTGAGCTGTGTAATGCTAAGGTACTCCACTGAGGGCAACATAGTGAGACTCTCCCCCCTCCCCCCCAAAAAGTCAGAGTTAGGTAGCTGGGGTATTTGGGTTTAGGGCCAGACCATATGTTTTCATCTGGTTTCCTAACCCCAAAATCAAACCCAGGTAGGTGCTCTGTATGAGAAACGAGGTATTACCATCTTCCTGGGACTCAACCTGGGAGGCAGGTCATGACAATCCAACACTGATAGTGTCCTGGGAACTCAAGATGCTTTAGGGCAGAAGAGAGTGAGTGCCTGTTGTGTCAGATGTTGTGCCCAGTATTTAGGCAGGACAAGAGTGGTCAATGGGTCAGAGGCTGCTGGGGCAGCACAGAAAGCTGTACCTCGGGACTAGTGAGGGGCAAAGCTGAGGAAGCCACTGGGAAGGGGTTTTTTAATGCCCTGGAACCAGTAGAAGGTGCAAACCCAGCCTTCCACCTCCAGAGGTAGCATGACCTTGGCTCTGCCTCCCTTCTCTGAACCTCAGTTTCCTCACCAGAGTGAAATGGAGCCAAAAGCCCTCTCCCTCTCACGGTGGGTGAAAAAACAAGCAAATAGCACACCACTGACATTTAAGTGTGCATAGTGTATGAAAAGAAGCTGCGGGGTACGCACCCGGGGCATTCAAGCAGCGAAGCCAAGGGCGATCCCGCCTCGCAATCACTAGCAAAACCACTGCCGCCAGCGACGCTAAGAACTGCGCGCACGCGCCAACCCGTGCCGTCACAGTCACGTGCCCCAGGCGTTCGGCAGCAGCGCCACAGGCAGGCTCTGACTGACAGAATGACTGACCTGTCATCGGAAAGCGCTCTCCCGGGCATCAGGCAAAGAGGCCGTTGATTTGGGGTAGCCTCAGTGTGGGGCGGGTTCTTTGCCGCCCTGGTTACTATGACGCCCGGCCTCCGCCCCCTCGGCTGGCCGCCATCTTGTTGTTGATCGGCTCTCAGTGGGCAGCGCCAGGAGCTGGACCGAGCGGCCGGTGAGGGCCGCTGCTGCGGGGCTCAGCCACCTGCGCTGCCGACCAGGGGGCGGGCTGAAACTCGGAGGCCCGGGGGGCCCAGCTCCCATAGGGAGCTGTGGGCACCCGCTGCCCAGGCGGGGCCGGTGAGTGGACACAAGCCGGGCCGAAAGACTGGCCTTATTACGCCGGTGGGGAGGGTGACGGCGGGCGCGGGGTTGGAGCGGGCGCGCGCGGGGCTAGGGCTTCGGCCGAGCATTGCTGGAACATCGTTCCAGCATCCTATCCTGACCCGCTCGCCGAGCCTCCCATATGTTGCCACCGAAGCCGAGGGGCAGCCCAGGTGGAGGTCAGAGAGCCTGGTGCCTGAAGACTGGCCGGCAGAGTAGCGGGAAACTAGCTTCTCTGACCGAAACCCTGGGCTTTGGTGACCCCGGGCGCTGAAGCGTGTCCGGTGCCAGCTTGACGCTGTCCTGGGCGTTATGTTGTTTCTGGGTGGGAAATACACTTAACCACTATCGCTCCTGCGAGTAATTTTCAGACCGGTAGAGATTAAGACCAGACAAAACAGGCCAAAGCCTCTGCAAGGCAGGCGGATCGGTGTCAAGGCCCTGTAATTATGGGAGGGTGAAGACCCTTTGCCTGGCTTCTTCCTCTTGAGACTAGTTCCGAGGCTCACAGTTTGCTTCCTCCTGAAGAGCCGGGTTAAATGTCCATAATGTCTGAATTTTATTTTGGAACGTATTTCTTCTGGTTCCTGACCACAACTTTTGGAGACTGATAATATTTTTCTCTTTTTGCTTTGAAAGAAAGTGAATACTATGGTGACGATTGGAATAATTTTATTTCCTAAAAGATATTCCACCAGTTTATTGAGAGACAAAGGAAATGAAGAATCCGAAAAAGAAATAAGACTTGTTGTTGTGGATGGTATTCCACTGCCAAATTCACCTTTTTTTTAAAGGACGGTCTCCCTCTGTCACCCCTGCTAGAGTGTGGTGGTCATTATAGCTCACTACAACCTCAAACGCCTAGGCTGAATTGATCCTCCTGCCTCAGCCTCCCAAGTGGCTGGTACTGTAGCCATACTACCATGTCCATCTAGTTTTTCTATTTTTTTTTTTTTTGTAGAGACAGGGTCTTGATTTTGCTCAGATGGGTCTCAAAGTCCTGGCAAAGTGATTATCCCTCGTTGGCCTCCCAAAGTGCTAGAATTACAGGCTTGAGCCACCAGGATGAAGTATTAAATTCACTTTTAACAGTGCTGGAAGGTGAAAACAGACCCCTTTCCTGCAAGGGTAGGAGGATTGGAGATCCTGGGCAGAATGTACAGGTTTAGGAAGACTACTGACTGCTCCAGAACAGGGTATCTTTACAGGTTCCTTGGGTTCTCTGCACAGGCTTGTATGTGGTTGTCAGAAACCTGCATGAGATGGTAAGAAGTCAGGCAGCACTACTTTGTGCACTTTTGTTAGGTATGATCTTGTCATTTCTGAATTTTTAATTCTGAAAGAAAGCAGTTCCTTGGTCAGCAGGAGATCCTTTTGGCAAGCAGATGTGGAAATCAGAGGAGGCTGGTAGCTTGTTGCTGTTAGTCTAAGGTTATATCTTACTTAAAGAAGAGAGGCTCGGTGCCTGTGGCTCAAGTGGCTAAGGCGTCAGCCGTGTACACCCAAGGTGGACGGTTCAAAT